CTTTTGTAGTGGGAGGAAAAAGGAAATAATAATAACAGATACATATTTGTATTTATAATTGCGTATACATACACACATAGAGACTTACACCCATAGTTGGTGTATTTCTTGTGTTCACTCGTGTATGTTGTGCTAATGGTTAATATCTGTTTATTTGCTTGATGATTTTGCTTGGTTGTTCAGCCTTTTTTGAAATATTTGTGGGTGTGGCCACTTCTTGTTTTTACTCTTACTGAGGTTATTGGGCTGTATTGCATTGTTTAACTTGTAGGTTTTACTTTCACGATGTGAGTGTCCATAGTGGTAATTGATTTATGTGTCCTAACGTGATTGATACTTTAGTTATTTTCTTTTTTTTTTTTACTTTTTTTTTGATTATCTTTCTTTCTAGATCAGTGTTTTTACCCAATCCAAACTATTGTCTCTCTCTCATGATGAAGATGCGCCGTGTGATGTGTGTGTTGGCCGTTGTGCTGTGCTGCGCCTGCGGGTATACCATGGCGGCTGCTGCTACTGCTGTTAATGCTTTGCAGCAAAATGTGGTAAGGGAAAGGGGAAATCCTGATGAATGGAGTGATTTGTTTATAACGGCAACCGTTAATCATACGTGTACGACGAATCCTGAAGATACAGTTAATGGATTAAGTTGTAAGGAAAGGGGTTATCCTAAGAAGGCTGAACCTTTACCAACACCACAGGGGAACGGTGAACCAGGAGCCAATCTCAGTCCGGCATCACCTACAAAAGGACATGAAGGAGATTTATCTGTGGAACGAGAAGGACTCCGAAGTACAGGAACGGAAAGTATTTCATCAGAAGATTCTGTCGGTTCTACTGAAGCTAAAGGACAGGATCCTGGAACAGCACCCGATGCAGCTACACACGGTACTGAAGATGCACCGAGCATCACATCTGATAACACCACTGCAGGGGATTCTAATTCTACCGAGCAATCTTCTGCAGCTGCTGGTACGGCTGGCACAGAAAGTTCACAGGAGAATGTCAATGCTGATTCAACGGCCACTACCACTAATACTACCAGAGAAGCACCAACCAGCACACTATCTCCTGTTCCTGTACCCAACCCACAGATCAGCACCATCACTTCCACCGTACAGAACAAGGCTAATGTTGACAGCAGTGTCAGTCCTGTGTGGATGCGCACTGCAGCACCGCTACTGATTGTGGCTGTGTTGTTCTCCGCTACCGTGTACTGAACGGTGGGACTCACTTGAGGACAAATAATAGTAATAATGGTTAAACTAACATAATCATAATTGCGTACATACCCCATGGGTGAATAAACTAATAATGTGTTTACTTGCTTTCTCTTTTAATTCGAGTTTCTACTTTTACTTTTGTGTGTGTGTGTTCTTTTTCTAATAATTTCATTACTTGCTTTTCCCGTTGTGTGTATGCAGAAAATTGGGCTGTTCTGCCCACTGACGGTATACATCTCTTGCTAGTACACACAGATGTGTGTGTGTGGAGTAATTTAATATATAAACTAGAGCCATGGAGTATTGTGTGTGTGTTTGGCTCTCTCTTATTTGGGTATTCTCGGGTCTTTTCTTTCTCATTTTTTCTGTTAAGGGTACATATTATCACGCAAGTGGCATATTTCGTTTTCTCGCTTTATGCTGCAGTTGTTGCTTCTCTCTCTCTCTATTCCACTGTGAGTATTTGTTGTAGTTGTTTGTGTATGTATGTTTGTTTCTGTTCTTCTCTCCCTTCTTTATTGATGCATTCCATTGAAGTACGACAGGTGCAACGATATCCACAATACCTGCAACCATTGGAATAATAATGATGATCCGCTACGTGCTGTGTATCCTCGCTCTCCTGCTCACATGTGCGTGTGTGCACGTTCTCGCTGAAGAAGTGCCTGCCGCCGATCTTTCCCATCAAGTCCCTGATACGGAGAGTGAGACAAAGATTCTTCTTACTTGTACTGACGGTGAAAGACGATCTGAAGACAATACTAAATGTGTGCCAGATGAAACGAGACCTGTTGTGAATCCTGGTCTTGATGGTGGTCGTTTTACCTGTCCTGCTGGTCAAACTGTTTCTACTGAAAATGGTAAGACTTGTGTTACCACTTTACAAAGGGAACCAGCTCATGTTGGTACTTCGAAGTGCCCTGCTAATCCCAAAGGTACTGAGCGAGAGAAACAAACCTGCGCAGCACAAGTCTTGGCGGAGTCAACTAGAGAAGGTGTTGAAGGGCCAGAAAGAGATGCAAAAGGTCAACCTGGTCTCCCTCCTGCTAGTGATGATCCTCCTCCTACATCTGTACCTTCTTCATCTGTTGAAGCTAGTAATGTTGTGAGTGGAGATGCGGGTCAAGCTGAAAGCAGCGACAAGGCAGCAGGTGGAACTCCACCAAAAGAGGAGAGTGCAGGAGAACAGCCTACCACTACTTCGCCGTCTAACAGTACAGATACAGGGAGTGCTACTGGTACTGATACTCCAACAGCCGAGAGCGGAAGTAACCCTGAAGAAAGTGAATCACCAAGTAACCAAGGTGTTGCAGATAATACAGAAACCACCACCACCACCACTACCACAACAACAACAACCACAACAACACTTCCTCCTGAACTCACAAACAACAAGAAGGGTGATGCAGACAGCAGCAGCAGTATCAGCAGTTCTGTGTGGGTGCGTGTACCACTACTGATTGTGGTTACACTGGCCTGTATTCTTGTGTGCTGAACGGGTGGTCCTCATCTGAGGACGAATAATAATAATGGTTTAACTAACATAATCATAATTGCGTACTTCCCTCATGGGTGAATGAATAAATTAATAATCTGTTTACCAGCTTTCTCTTTTAATTCGAATTTCTTTTCTTCTACTTTTGTGTGTGTATTTCCTTTTTCTAATAATTCCATTACTTGCTTTTCCCGTTGTGTGTATGCAGAAAACTGGGCTGTTGTGCTCACTGACGGTATACATCTCTTGCTAGTACACACAGATGTGTGTGTGTGGAGTAATTTAATATATAAACTAGAGCCATTGGGTATTGTGTGGTGTTTCCTTTGTTTTTCTACTAATGGGTACATATTATTATACAGGCGGGTTATTTCTTTTCTTTTGCTTTACTGTGCAGTTGCTGCTTCCCTCTCTATCCCACTGTGAGTCTTTGTTGTACTCTTGTATGTTTATTTGTTTCTGTTCTTCTCTCCCTTCTTTATTGATGCATTCCATTAAAGTAAGACAGGTGCAACGATATCCACAATACCTGCAACCATTGGAATAATAATAATGATGCGCTACGTGCTGTGTATCCTCGCTCTCCTGCTCTCATGTGCGTGTGTGCACGTCCTCGCTGAAGAAGTGCCTGCCGCCGATCTTTCCGACCAAGTCCCTGATACGGAGAGTGAGACAAAGATTCTTCTTACTTGTGCTACTGGTGCTTCTGAGCATGGTTGTTCTGGTGGTGGTCATCCTCCTGGTCCTACTTCTACCTCAATGCCTGCTAATGTTAATCCTTCGCTTCAGAAGGAGAGAAAAGAGGGTGGTGAGGATGGTATTCCTGTTTCTCAAGCAGTGGTTGATGCTGTGGGTTTGAGTGTTCAAGAAACTTCACATCTTGCTGGTCAAGTAGGAAAAGAACACCAACCACTTCCTGATGCTTCAACTACAAGACCCAATTCTGCTGACAGTCTAACAGTGCAGGGTCCCAATCACGATAGAAGGCAGACTCAAAACCTAACACATCAGGGTGGAGCGAACGATTTATCACCAATAAAAGAAGTACAACCTTCTCTACACAATGGAAACGCAGAAGAGAAATCACAAGAGAATCCAGAGGAAGAGCACAACCTGCAATCTACCGGTAGTCGCAATGGAATCCCTGAAGGTCCTCAGATATCTCGTACTCAGGTGCAGGAACCATCGTCTGCAGGAACACAAGATGCCAACGAAAATAAGAATAATGCAGAAAACCAGAATGTATCAAGTGGAAGTACAACTACGAATGATGCTGCACCAACACAATCTTCTTCATCAACATCTACTGAAGCCAATGTTACACCTTCACCTCAGGAAACTCAGGGGAATAATGAATCTGATAATAAAAACGCTGAGAGCGGCACTACACCTGAAGGGAATGGGTCAACAAATAACCCAGCTAATGCAGAAACAACCTCCACCACCACAACAACAACACTTCCTCCTGAACTCACAAACAACAAGAAGGGTGATGCAGACAGCAGCAGCAGTATTTGCAGTTCTGTGTGGGTGCGTGTGCCACTACTGATTGTGGTTACACTGGGCTGTATTCTTGTGTGCTGATTGTAATGGTGGTGGTGATGGTGTGACTCAGGTCATCCTTTAATTTTTTTTTCTTTTTCTATTTTGCATGCATCCCCTACAGTCTAACTAATCTTTCACCTGTTGGGATTCTCTTCTTTTTTTGTTTCTTAATGTTAATGTGTTTTGTGTGTGTTTTTGCTCTCTATGTTTATCCTATAATAATTATTATTGCTACTTTATTGTGTGTGTGTGTGTGCACCTGGGCTTGCACTGTAATGATAATGATGATGAACTGTTTTTTGCAGTGGGAAAAAGAAAAAGAAATGATAATAACATATGAATTTATATTTATAATTGCGTATATATACATATATGGACGTACACCCATAGTTTGTGTGTATCTCTATGTTTACTGGGTAAATTGGGCTAATTGAAACTTTCTGTTTCTTTCTTTTTTTTTTTGTATATTGTTTGTTGGGCGTTGTGTGTTTTGACCTGAACTGTTTTTGTATTTTGCTTTTTAAGGAGGGAAATAATAATAACAGATTCACAAATAAATTTATAATTGTGTTTTTACTCTATCCTGACAATAGATTAGTGTTGTTTTTTTATGTTTGCTTGCTCCTCTGGGCGTGTTATTAATTTGTTTGTTTTTTGTTTTCGTTTTAACTTTTTTTTGTTCTTCCGCTTTATTGGGCTCTTTTGTGTTTCTGTTCGTTATCTTGTCTAGTGTTTTTTTAGTTGTTATTGTTTTTCCCTTGTTTCCGTTGTTTCTTCTGTTTGTGTGTGTTTCTTCTTTATTCTCTATTTTCTTCTTTTTATCTCCTTGTTTTCATTTTTCTGAATTCTAGTTGCATTGAACGCTACAAGTAACTGTTTTCCATGTTGCTGATGGGCCGACTGTTGTATTTTATGGCTTTGCTTCTGAGTGTTGCCTGCGTATCTGTGGCGGCTGGACCCACCACAACAGAAGATCAACCTAGTGGTCTTGAAGATAATACTGTTGACTGCACTCCTGAATTACGTGATTCTACTAATTCTCGTTGCCCTACACAACCAACAAAAGCTGCTGCTGCTCCTTCTCTTCCTGCTGGTCCTGCTGGTCCCCCAGGTCAACCAGGTGTTGAGGCTCACGGTTCTTCTGTATCCATTTCTTCTGGTAGTAGTATTCAGGGTGTAGAACTGCAAAGAGAACAGCAGATCCAAGAGGGATTAAATGGCCATAAATCTGAGGGAAGTGTCAGCAGCGGCACAAAAATGAATCTCGACACACCAAATCAGGGAGGCGGTCCATCACAAAAAGGCAGTGAGGAAAAGGGAGGACAACTAAGTAATACTGCCAAAGAGGAAGTGGGTCCTTCAGATGACGATAACGGAGACGCCGAGAAAAATGATTCTCAAAGTAATGCAAGCAGTACTGCACATTCAACAGGGAAACCAAGTGACGTTTCCCAATCAGAAGAACCTTCAGCTCCCCCACCCCAGAATACAGGTAATACTCCTTCTGGCAGTTCAACTGTGGATAATCCAGTGGGTTCAGATGCTGCAAACAATGTAAATAACGTTGCCCCTGCAGGTGATGAAGCAGCAAGTAACCAAAATGAAGAAGGAGCAGGAGATACAGAATCAAACACCACCGCCACCACCACAACAACACTTCCTCCTGAACTCACAAACAACAAGAAGGGTGATGCAGACAGCAGCAGCAGTATCAGCAGTTCTGTGTGGGTGCGTGTGCCACTACTGATTGTGGTTACACTGGCCTGTATTCTTGTGTGCTGATTGTGATGGTGGTGGTGGTGTGGTGTGACTCAGGTCATCCTTTGTTTTCTTTTTTTCTTTTTTGCAT